CGATGATTAGTCCATTAGAATTGGCTAATCGCATCTATTGTTAAACGTCAAATGCAAAATGTCAAATGCGATTGGTCAATTTCACTGGACTAATCGTTGATAATCAAAGTTAATTGAAGTTGACCAAAGTAGCTCTTAATTGTAAAAATTATATCAAAATAAAAAAAATTCCGTAACATCATATTGTAGATTACATATTTCGTACAATATTTACATGCAATTTTATGTTACATAAAGCCGATTATTCCATTTTTTGATAAATTTTAACTGTTGGGTAAATAGCAAAATTACCCAATCACATGCGTGGATTATCAGATTTACTTCACAGATAAAATTTATCAAAAGAATAACCGACCCATAAAAATGTAACGTAATACATGCGATAATTTATAAAAATAATTTTTCATCATAAAGCATTGTAAAATATATGTAACAAATAAAATTTTAGGAAAATAGAATTTTTCTTCTTGTTCTTTTCTTGTTCAAATGGTGAATCATTTTTCTTATCACTATGAAAATTTATAGAAATTATCCGAATATAGCCTCTTTTATCCATAATTTTTAATTAAATATGTGAACCTTCGTAGAAAATAATATAATGTATTCTTTCTCAATCTACATTTGATAAAGATCGATATTTGTAAATTTTCCACTTTCGCTCAGCGAATCGCTGTTTTTTGAACGTAGCTAATCTTTCGTTTTGAGGAAATGACGTCAGGCACGGTGACTTGCGATGACTTCATGTCATAGGTCATAGAGCGAATAGAAGTGATGCGAATTGTCTACCTTTCGACAAGGAGGTCGTCAACTCGTCATTATAGTCATATCTGTTATAATTAATCGGACACCATTTTCAAATTGAGATTGATGACGAGAAATTGACATTTTTATAAAAATCTGCATCCACTGGTGAGACGTCGTATCACGTTAGAATTTTATGACACGATAGGTTAATCGCATCAAACTCAGCCACTGGCTACATTTCAATGGCATTTCATGTTTGCAAAACGTTGTGTATATACTTAAACTAATACATGAAACAAGAATTTTATCCGTTAAAGAAGAGAATAGTAATTAATCTCTCTTTAAATGTACAAGTTGACAATCAGAAGATTGCTCTGAAAAATAAATAATTTTATCTTGTGATTAGTGGACAAATCAAAATGAATTGAACACTAATTCTGTAGAAGAAATCTATCATTTTTGCTAATATATTTGATTATGTGGTTTATTAATATTTTCAAGATTACCATAAATTTAATAATTTTTATACAATAATTGAAAAACTTTTCAAAATTAAATACATTTTCTAACTTATATTATTTAACTTATTAATAACTGTGAACTGTTTTCAAAAAATTTCAGATAAATTCCTTTTATGGAAATGGCCATTCACGTTGAGATATAAGCATACATATTAAATCAGTGAAACCAGTTAAATTTTCAGCTTTTTAATGTTTATTTTTACAAGTTCATAAATATATATATTTTTTATATTACGTATACTAATAAAAATGGGTTTTCTCTGCAGAGTAGTGTTTATTTTATTCTATTTTCATTGCAAAATAACAGTTGAACATTTGTCAATTTTTTGATATTCTGTATGTACTGTCTTAATATGTTTGCAATATTTTCTATATATATTACTGTAATATATTTTTGATAAATATGTTATCTTACTGTAATATAAGATTAATTCAAAATATCTTTTCTCTATTAATTCAAAATAATTTCATAAGTTAAAAATGGATAACTGAACTCAATTATTAGTTCTCATTTATCAATTTGCTTTTACAGATATTGCTATATCAGAACTTTTTTGTTTGGAAAGAAAATTCTAACATACAATATATTATAATTTATTTGATATTATATAATATATTTATTACATTCATGTATTATTTAATACATCTATTTTCACAATTAACAATATTATTCTATGTATTAATTTAGATTAAATATTGACAAAAAATTAGAGTTGAGAGATTAATAAAAAGAATTGTTGAATATCTAGAAATTGTATATATGTTTATATACAATTATATATATAGCAAGCTTATTATTTGAATTACAATTATAGTGCAAAATATAAGTTACATTTTTTTTATTTACTGTTTTAGGTAACATGAAATTGTGGATCGTAATAGCACACATCACATTGGTCGTTACTAATTTATGGGTTACAGCCCATTTCCAGGAAGAAGTACCTGAGGATAATGAGTTTGCAGAATTTGAAGATTTTGAAGAGGAAAAGCCAAGTGTGCTTATTGAACGTGCACCAGAATTACCTTCAGAAGAAGAATTGAATCAAGATTTCGAAGAGGACGATGTCTTGGTTACAGATGGTGACAGTGAATTTGATCATTTCCAAGATGAAGAAGAATTTGAAGGACTGGACGTTGCTGGGGGCAACACTGGTCCAAAAAACGATGAACCTTCCACATTGACTATTACAAAAGTCCCATTCCATTTGCGGGAAAGATGGGACAGTTATTATTTAGAAATATTAATGATCACTGGACTAGTGGTATACTTTATAAATTATATTGTAGGACGTACAAAAAATGCTCATATAGTTGAGCAATGGTTAATAGATCATAAGCAGCTTTTGATGGATAATTTTTCTCTCATCGGTCATTCAGGCAAATCAAATGAGAATGCAAATGATAATGGTTTCATAAGACAGAGTGAATCACAGTACAGTTTGTATTGCTCTGGACGTGTTGGCTGTGATTCCATGCTTATAGAGTTGAAATTAATAAAGAGACAAGACTTAGTCGCTGTATTAGCTCAATTGGTACGACCGCAAAATGATCAAATTCACATAGAAGTGGAACTCTCAAAAGACGAAATAGATAATTTCGTTTTAGCAGTTGCCACAAAGCGGTTAGCGATGCATTTAGTACGTGACATGGCCGATATTAGCGTATATTGCCCAGAGAAACGATCTGGGGAAAAATTCGGTCTTCCATCAGGCTTTTATGTAATGTCTGAGATTCCAGAAGCAACGGCAGCTATTTTGGACACCAGGATTCAGCAAGCCTTCACAAAGTTTGCGCCTTATATAGAATATATTCACATTAGTGATCAATTCAGTGGACGCAAACCCCAGGAGTAAGTAAAAATGAACTGTGCATATTAAACAATGATTCAAATAAATAAAATATATAGAATGCATATATTTTAAAATAATCAATTTAATAATACTTCCAATTTTAGAGATACTACTCAGTTAACAATGCCTGAGGTTAAAAGAATATTGTTAATGAGTCTGAATATAAGTCTCAAGGGTCGCGCGAGTAATCCAGAGACTCAAGAAAAACTCAAACCTTTACTTCAACTTGCTTTCTATTTAATTGATAAGTTGCGACGTTTTAAGTTATCTAAAGAGGTTTGTATTTCTTTAATGAATATACATCGTTAAACTATTGTAATTTATATTATGAATTTTGTTATGTAGGGTAAAAATAAAGCGGATAAAAATCGACTCAGAGTGGAAGAAGCTTTCCTGAAAACAACGCACGCCGCAAGGGCCGAAGCTGCGGCTCAAAGACGAGAGGAGCGTCGGAGAGCCGAGCAGGAAAGAATTCTTCAAGAGGAAGATCCCGATAAACAACGAAAATGGGAGGAAAAAGAACAACGAAGATTGGCCAAAAAACGTGCTCCAAGAATGAAGCAACTTAAAGTGAAAGCTTTGTGATATAATCAGAATTAACAAGTGGGATGTACATTTTAAAGAACAAATTTGCTATTCTCTCCATATTCAAAAAGAAAAATTCGTAAGTAATTTCAATGGGATTGTACTTCGTTCAAATTATCTACGAAATAGCTTATGTCTTCATTGAGATTTATATATTTACTCAGTGTTCTCTTACATGAAATATTGAACTTATTAAAGAAAGTACAAACGACTGTGAAAAAATGTATCCTGCGAATTGTAAGTTGTTTGTTGTGTAACGTACATTTTTTTTGCCCTACTGCCAGCTTACATACTTAAAAATATTATAGAGATATATAATATTCCCTGTTGAAAGAAAAGAATAATAAAATTTAACGAATACTATATATACATATATATATAATATTATCATATCTTTCTTTTAATCTATGTATCAACGAACTGATACGTTAAAATATCCATAAAATCATTGTCCTTTAATACCAACAACATTTTTATTAAAACAACATTTGTATTCAAGAAAGTAATCCATAGTAATATTCCAAAAACTTTCTTTTTCTTACATCTGAGAATAAATGCATCATTAGTTAGTTCAGTTATAAATAATTTAATTATCAATACATCCAATATATAACACAATTGTTTGGATGTATTTAATATTTTTTATATTATTACATCCCCCTCCCATCATATAAATTGAAGTATAAAAGTTTGAAGACAAAATCATTAAGCTTATAAAATGCGAGATAAAAATATATTATTTATTGTGCATAATAATTAATCGTTTGTTTTCCAAGTAATGTGCCATAGTATATTTAGCATAAATATTTATAATTACAATGCTTAGCAGAAATATGTAATTGTCTAAGTAAGACCGATTAGTTCGAAATATATATATTAAGTTTGAATGTTAACCTTTTTTATATTAATTTTATTTACGATTTTATACCAGTGTAAAATTAAAGATTTGAACAATAATTAATGGTCTCTAAGTAAGCATAAGGATCATATAAATATTTTAATTCTAGAAGTACCAAATTATCATTTTTTATATTAATATTATATAATATGTTTTGTGTAAAAGATAGGATTCTGAAATTTTTTTACTTTTTAATTTCATCTTAATGAAATATTTGGTCTTTCATCATTTTCTTTATTTTCATAGTAGTTCATTCATTATATTATTTATTCATTATTCAATTTAATCTTTTTAGTGAATAAAAAACATTGATTCTTCTAGCTAGAGTTAAGCAGTTTTGAATTTAAAGATATCTCTTTCACTAAGACAGATGAAAATATTTGATCTACAGTTTTGCTGTTGTGTTATTTATATTTTAAAGCAAAAGTAAAATTAAACTAACTGCAGAAGTTTCATATTACTCTGGATAACTGTTTTGGAAAATAGAAAGTTGTTATCGGACACAAAATCCGCTATGACTATATTAAGTCCGCCGCGACCAGGATATTTCTGACTTATCCAGGAGAGAATTTCTTTCTGACAGCGAGACACTAGATCTCTTTGCAAGGTACCACACAAATGTTTCATGACATAGAGTGTATCCGGCGTCAGGAGACATTGCGATATGAATGCAGTGTCCAATGATCTGCTCTGTAATTCAATATTCAAAAAATTAATCAATTCATCCACGCGGACGGTATTGGGCCACACAGTACGCCAGAGACCGGATGGCCATAAATTTGCGTAATTACGCGCATAAATGTTCCTGTAAATCACGAACACCTGGTATCTCTTTAGGACTAGCCATTGCAGTGTTATGTGATGAAATCTGGATGAGACCGGACACAATTTTCGGCGGAAAATTTGAGTTATTTTGTCTATGAGACGTTGATGATCCACTTCCTTGAAGGCATAGAAATGCTGAAAGTCCAGGATAACGATCTCATTTGTATGCGAGCTAAGCCAGTCAGCCACGTCGAGAAGTGACTTGCTGATTTCTGCACCATACAGACCGTGAAGGAAATATATATTATTGGTTCCCGGCTTCGTGGCAACGCGCAAATCTAAATATCGGATTCCGCCATTAAGTTGTTGCTTGATATCATCGCATTGTGTAATAGACCAATTTAAAATAATGGGCTTGGCAACGAATGAACAGTAGCGGCCGAGCGTTCGAATGAAAACAGGTTCGTCTGGTCCCACGTCGTTGTGTCTATCGATAGTATAAGTCATGGTATCATGAGAACCTGGAAATTATCAATTTGTATGAGTATCTTGTAGGTAATTAAGCAAAAATTAAGTTTCATTTATACAAATATATTTTAGAGAATAATGCAAAAAGCAAAGATATTAATAAGACTCTTATTTTAGACCATATATGTGAGAACAATCGATAAAAATTAAATGCCTATAATGTTCAAAGCTGTATCTTTAATCTTTAATGTAAAGATATTAAGTCAAGTTTGTAGATGAATATAAATTAAGAAACTTTCTCTTGCAATTATTCTTTTATCGAGACTTATTAAGTCAAAATATTATATCATTTATACATTTCATTACAAATGAATATAAATCGAATAATAATGAAACTTATCTTTCGTATAAATATCTCAGTTTTTACAGGCACGAATGTAACTGCGCATCAAGCAATGTAAAAGATTTAAACGTACCGGGTATCGCCAGATGTATTATGGGTATATTTTTGAGTGGCGCCGGAAACCGAGTCATCCAAAATTCCAGATCGTCATTCAAAATTGCGTCCGCGATGTTCTCTCCCTTTCCTTTATCTTCCATAATGTCCAAATTTCCAACAATCGCGTATCACTTCTCTTATTGGAAGTGTATAAACACAAGAGAATTCATTGTTGGCTCGCGGAGTTACGGAGGCGCGAGTGATACAACTGCAGATATCGACCTGCGTGTGATACAAATGACGCACTGCCTTGTATAATGTTGATGCTTTATAAACATTCATGTATTTTCCCGCAATGATTTCAAGCTCGATCGTACTGTGCAGCTAGTTTACACTCATCCAGTAACCTCGCTCTGTAAATACACGTGCAGCACTTGCTATGTATATCAGTCTTAATCGTATTCCGACAAAGAACTAAATTTTTGTTGCTCCTTTGCACATCTCTTAATTGCTTTTGCAATTTCTATGATGATAATGTAAGTGAGGAAACTTGGCGAGATTGCTAGCGAGAGTTCGAGTCCCCCAAAGAAATAAACAACGCTACACGCGCTCTGTTCTGCGCATACGCGTATTTTCTTTTACATAATCAGTTTATGAATGTATCACGAGATACGTATAGAAATCTTAATAAAATTGAGCCGTCTTTCTGCATATAAATATTAATCAGAAGCCAACTCTCTTTCTGCGTGTAATAAAAAATCTTACTCCAAAGATTTATGCTCAGTTTTCATCACCTAAAATTGATAATAATTTTTAAGTTTTTTTTAATATTTTCAAAGAGCTATTCATATATTAAATAAAAAACAGCAAACATTATTCTATTGTTATCCTTAAAAAGTATATTTTTAAAAATCTAAATTTTAATATATTACATGAATATAAATATTAAATGTATATAATAATAAGACACAAACATATATGTGTGCGTGTGTGCGTGCGTGCGTGCGTGCGTGCGTGTGTGCGTGCGTGCGTGCGTGCGTGCGTGCGTGCGTGTATATTATCTCTCTTATTGCTCGTATAAATCTTTCAAAATTTTCTAATATTACAATACTTAATGAAAATCGTGAGAAATACTGAAATCATGTAAAATTATCCTGCGCATATTCATGTCTTCTTATTTACGTAGCATCATATTGTATTATTACGTGACACATCTTACCTGTGAATCATTATCTTCGATTACATTGGAAATATGCTTCTCAAGTATATTCTGCAGCGAATAAATAATCTTCTGTTTCTGATCAGCGCAACATGAAATACAAGTATCGCTCGTGCAGACATGCTCTTGCAACTGAAAATAATTGTTTTTTATATTTTATCATATATGAGAAAGATATAAATATCTTAAATTGCACATATATTGAGACACATTTGCGATACATGCTCGTATCTAAATCTTTATATATAACTGTTAATGATAATTTAATAATAATTAACTTATAACAATAATATATAAAAATATACATGTTATTATTATTGTATAATAACAATTCAATTTTTTCATGTATTTATTTGTGACCACGTATATATTTCTAATGAGTTTACAAGATAAAAATTGCAACTGTAACAAAATCAAGAAGAGTGGTTTTCCTTCAAGAGTTTAAAATTTGAGTTCTACATATGCTATTAAAAAATATATTTTATACATTCGCATGTCTATTCAAAGAAACGATACCTCTAACGTTTCTAGGATGCATTGTTTAGCTTCGTTTAGAATCTTGTTCAAGTTATTAAATTCCTCGCACTTCTTTCGCTCTTCTATCAAGACTTCCTCCCGGGCCTTTTTGGTCTCCTGTAAATGTCGCTCGAGAACCTTCACTTTCTCTTCCGACTTCGTGCATTTCGCCTTGTATTCATTCATTATTTGCTCGTAATTGCTGAGCCTCATGTTCTCACGTTGTATTCGACCGTATTCGAAGATCGTGTTTATGTGTTCTTGGGCGAGATTATGCATCACACGTCTGTATCTTATTACATCTTCCTGCGCTATTTTGGCTTCGCCTTCGAGCAATTCGCACTGCAATCTGAGCGCACGATCGGTTTCTTTGCATTCCGCGCTCTTCGTTTCCAGATCCTCGCAAACCTTCAACATCGAATTCAGTTCGTGATTCAACGCAATGTTCCTCCTGATCGTGTTATGCATCATGTCTGCTATACGAATATTGGTTGCTTGTTTGAATTCTTGAGCAAGCTGCCTCAATCGTTCCTCCATCTTCTTCTGCATTCTATATATATAGGATTT